TAACGATGAACTGTCTTCAAAAATCAACTAGAGTAAGGTTTTTATAAATACATGACCACTTCGGCTATGGAACACTATTCTATTTCCCCCCCCCCCCCCACACACACACCACACCCACCCCTCTTAACGTGAGTGTCCATCTACAAGCATAAAGTGAACAGAACATCTGAAAGTAAACAACGACAGCACCGACTAACTTAATTACAGACGCACGAATAATCGTCCACAATGAAGACAATAACGCACGCACTCACCGACGCACTACCAGACGCACCAATGTGCAGCACCGGCTAAAACATTCAATCGAATCCTACCCAAGATGGACGGCACTATAAAATATGGAAAGGAAAGACGAATTCAGCGGGTCACGCTAGGGTGGCTATGATCCCGAAAGACTTACATGTATTATTGACGATTGAAATAGCGACGTGGAACGTTTACATTTGTACAAGTCTCTGACAGAATACGTAAGTAGCTTGTTTTTTTTTTTTTTTTTTTTTTTTTTTTTTTTTTAAGTATAGCTCCGTATTGAACCTGGCGGTCTATGGGCCAAGTGAAGTAGAGTTTACCTGTTTCTGTGACCTCGGAATATGAAGGGATGGTGTAGTTAGTACTGTCTTCAGCTTTCTGAGAAATAATTATCTTATTTCTTTGGTAGAGCATACGACTGCTAACCCGAAAGCCTCGAGTTCGAAACCGAGTTCAAGTTTGTAAACGTCGCTGAGTCTACCCAGCTCTAATGGATACCTGACTCATGTTAGGGAAAGTAAAATCAATTTTTAAAAAAATAAATGCTTTAGTTTTACTGTAATTTAGACAGCGTTTAGCGAAAGTTAATATTTATTTAGAGAGTGTTAATTTACCCTTGACCTTTATGTGGTGTTGACGTCATTTGGGGGCTTTTTTTATGACGCTATTGACCTCGCGGCCAACCTAATATAGCTGTGATTTCAACACATTATTTATTCATAGAACTTAGCGGCTAGGGTGAGTGATTGGAGGGGGTGGGGGATGAGGTGGGGGTGGGGCACCATTGATTACTTTAGTACCTCGAGGTGAACATACGGATCAAAGACCGGCTCGCAATAAGTAGGGAGAAGCCGGAAGCGGAAGTGGAAAGCCATAATGAAAGTGTGGAAAGAAATGCAAATAAGGGTCATGTTAAGCCCTCATTCTCCTTGACGACCCCCGCCCCTGACCCCTTTCCGGCGTTTTCATTAAGCTGAGACCGGGGGGTTTAATTTGACCCCAGGTTCCGGCCCGACATGGCTCTTTGGGCTAAATTTTCCGGACATGACTTATGATGGCTGGCCGGACATGACTTATAATGGCAGGCCGGACATGACTTATGGCTGGCCGTACATGATTTGTCATTTCTGGCCGGACATGACTTATTATGATTGGCCGAACAGACTTATGGCTGGCCGGACATGACTTATCATTTATGGCCGGACATGACTTATAATGACTGGCCGGACATGACTTATGGCTGGCCGGACATGACTTATAATGACTGGCCGGACATGACTTATGGCTGGCCGGACATGACTTATTGCTGGCCGGACATGACTTATTATGGCTGGCCGGACATGACTTATCATGACTAGCGTGTCAATGCTGACCATAAATTAACGGTCAGTAGTCATCAGTTTATCCCAGCTCCCCCCTTCCCCCCCCCCTCACACACACAATCACGTGCTCACCGTAGCTCCGAGTTTGCAAACATCCTTCCAGCTAATCCACCCTTAAAGGAACAAAGCTGATGCATACAAAGACGAGAGATAGTCTAGAATTTTGATTTGCAATAACAGATCAATGTGATAAAAATGTCACATTGATTTCTTCAGATGGTTAATCGCATGAACAAGAGTAATCGTCAACAAAGTATTTGTTTTGAATACTGTTTTCGTACATATTTGTAAATCGAATATATAAGAACAATGATTATGTATTCGTATTTTTTCGTTCTTTGAATATATGGGAAAAATCCGCAGTAAAATTATAGAAGATTTGAGAACTGAATTGATAAGTTTGTAATGAAAGTAGATATAAATCCTTTACGAAAGTATTAACCGTTTCTATTAAATAATTATCATTACGGTACGTTAAAATTTTGTAATTTAGTTTAAACTCAAAATATTTCTGACGACTAAATTAGAGCTGTTAAGAAAAGTTAAGTATGTAATCGCAACTAGTTAACTTACATATTCGTATTACAAATCAGCATATAGATTATACTAAGGCACTACATACAATTAAAAAAAAGAAATATATGCACCATTACAGCATTATCTACTGTGGTTTCCTTTGTTAAAAAGACAAAAAGCAAAATAAAAATTATCAGCTACTTTTTACTATCGTTATCTAAAGAAAAATCCATGGTAGCTACCCGGCTGGAACAAAGGTAAAGATAGATGATAGCTGGTGTTTTTTTTATTATTGTCTGATCAAAGCGTGTTTGATGGCTAGGTGTGCTTTACGTTTCAAGAACTCAGCAGTTAAGACCGGATCATTCGTTGTAAAAAATTGTGCGATACGGCTAGTTAGTTCAAAAAGTTAGTCAAACTTCAAAACACAGGGTTTTTATAAGAGCAGCTGCTCGGGGTGTAATTAGACTGTAGAGGAAGGTAAAAACCTGCACTAATTGTAGCAACAGCAATGATGTGCAGTAATTAGAGAGGATAAAACGTGTACTAAAATTGTAGCAACAGCAATGATGTGCAGTAATTAGAGAGGATAAAACGTGTACTAAAATTGTAGCAACAGCAATGATGTGCAGTAATTAGAGAGGATAAAACGTGTACTAAAATTGTAGCAACAGCAATGATGTGTAGTAATTAGAGAGGATAAATCTTGCACTAATGGTAGTAACAGCAATGATGTGCAGTAGTTAGAGAGCAGGATAAAACCTGCACTAATTGTAGCAACAGCAATGATGTGTAGTAATTAGAGAGGATGATAAAACCTGCACTAATGGTAGCAACAGCAATGATGGGCAGTGACGCAGATTGCCACTCCAGAATTGGCAGGATCAGCCACAACAGAGCCTGTGCCAACAAACAAAATGACAACATCTTAATCTCTGGGCGTACGTCCATAGTCTATTTGAGGCAAAAGGCGGCCCTCCCCCCATCCTAAACACACACAAACACAGACATACACTATATACATATATATTTATATTGTATATATATATATATATATATATATATATATATATATATATATATATATATATATATATATATATATATATATATATATATATATATATATATATATATATGTATATATATATATATATGTACATAAGCTAGCTTTTTCCAATACCAAAAACACTCTCTAGCCTATCCATCACAGTGTATACAACTATTTAATTTATTCGCTGTGTGTGGATTTCTAAGTCGTATAACTAGACATCGCGTTGTGAGGTTGAAGAGAAAAAATGATCTAAAAGTCAACTTTTTTATGTGTTGTATTATCTGAAGTTACGGTTTGTGATGATTGTGTGCCCCTGCTGTGAACAGACTCCTGAGCAGACGGGAGTCGAGCAGGCGGAATAATTGAATCAGCTCGAGCTATCATTCAGCGGTGTTGTTTTTTAACGGAAAAATATTTCAAAATATTTCATTCGAACCCCTGTATACACTTTATATTGGATTGGATGGTTTATTTCGTTAACTTCTATAAAGCGCTCGATGTTTTAAAAAATGAGAAAATGTTGTCAGTAATGGCAAATAATTGTTTGCAACATAATTGTTACAATATTTTATGAGATTGTGATAATATAATTCAACAAAACAAAAGTTACAATTAGCATTCACTCCCTCCCTCAAATACAGTCTTATAATGTTTTAATAAACCCCACCCCTCATACAATACAACATTTCTAGCACCCCCTACTCCCGAATAAACACATGACATAATTTTAAACAACACAATTAGGCAAACCTCTTCCATTGTCATATTACTAAAAAAAATGTTAATCCTTATTTTGTGTTTACATTTATTTTTCATCAGCTGTGACAACCAAGGCTATCAAAAGCTGCTGTAGCGACATTAGTTCATTACACCAACCACCCACCTCATTTAACACATAGTAAAAAAAAACATGGTAATCTAGCTCTATCCCCTTTCGTGTTACACGATACGTGAACTACCCCTTAACTACATCATCGTGCATCGACGCACCAGACGCACGTGATTCGGACTGTGTTGAGCGCATATTGCACAAGTTGTTAAGAAAAAGTTCAGTTAGTTTAAAAGCGTCGTGACCTACTTTACTCACGAGTAGTAAGAATTTAAAAATAGATAAGTAATTTTTCCGTTTTGGTATAGATCGAAGTAGCAAATGGAAGGTAATAATGCTAAAAGCGTTTGAAACTGTTTAATGATGTATCAGGCTTGGTATCTTCAGGCTAAATACACCATCGGGATTTGGCCAGTCCATTCTGATAATTATACCTAACCCAAACATAACCCTAGCTGTGCACTCACTTACCCTAGCCTTAAATCTAAAACTCCGCTAATACAAAACCTAACGGTAAACCCAACGCTAGCTTTTCAGTGTTTGGGGTTTATTTCTATCGGGTATGTGTGTAGCTGAATAAGTGGTTTGTGATGGATGAGGCGGCTCAAAGAAGAATTATTCAATTATGTTTTCTGGTGGGCTTGTTGTAATACTCCATCATGTATCTGTGGGCTTGTTGCAATACCCAATCATGTGTTCTAGTGGGCTTGTTGCAATAATCAATCGTATTTAAATATGGGCTTGTTGAAAAACGACTCAAAACATAGTTTTAGTTGTTTAACTATTTGTTAAGCAGTTCGTTAAACAATTAGTTAAACAAATCCATTAGATACGAGAAAAGAGTGAAACATCGTTTATAAAAGCCATACCGTTTAAAACGAAAATAAGAAAAATGTACATCGGAAAATATTCATTGTGAGCTGTTAAAAAACCCTTAAAGAACACGATAACACACGTTTGAAGTACTCACCTTGAGAATTTAACCAAGCTCGCTGTCAGCACGTGTTTGGAAATGCTCACTCTTATTTCAACTGTTTTTTTTTACGACAAACTAAGGCCGATAACCCGTTTAGCAACACGTAAGTATCCCAGCATGAATTTGACAGCAATGTTTACACAAGTTGTCTCCCTTACAAGACCGATAACTCCTCCTTTTGTTTTCACGGTGTCACACTTTTTTTTTCTTGTCTGATCCTAAGACAATTGAATGACGTAATTTCTCACGTGTCTGCTGACGCTTGAGTGACTCAGAAGACTCCACCGTCCCACGCAGGTGGCACCGGACTCCGCAGAAGTGTATCCGTATCGCGATGCCAACCGAGCATTGGTGCCGTCACAGAACGGAGCGGTCTGTTAATTAAACCAGAACCCACAAGATCGCTGGAGAGGTCCCTCTCCGTGGCTCCCTCTCACTCGGTGCTAAGTGCTTACACTCACTCCAGTGCTAGGTGCTCACATCTCCCTCCTCATCCGTACGAATGTGGCTCAATGCGTGCGGCGTACGGCTTTGATCATCCCCGGCCCGGGGGTGGGGGGCAGGGTATCGATGAAGGCGGCACGGCAGGACGACAAGCTCGCGAGTCCGCGCCGTCTGCTAGCCCGCGCCTGCTGCTTCTGGTGAGGGAGATAAGAAATGGGTGAATTAAAAATGCGGACGGGAAAACGTGAGAAAAATAAGAAAACAATAGCAACTTTGGACTCGGTTGTTTTTTGTGAGGGCAGGGTCAGGTTGTGTGGGCAGGGTCAGGTTGTGTGGGATTGTCAGGTTGTGTGGGTTTGTCAGGTTGTGTGGGTTTGTCAGGTTGTGTGGGGTTTGTCAGGTTGTGTGGGCAGGGTCAGTTTGTGTGGGTTTGTCAGGTTGTGTGGGTTTTTCAGGTTGTGTGGGCCGGGTCAGGTTGTGTGGGCAGGGTCAAGTTGTGTGGGCAGGGTCAGTTTGTGTGGGTTTGTCAGATTGTGTGGGTTTGTCAGGTTGTGTGGGCAGGGTCAGGTTGTGTGGGCAGGGTCAGTTTGTGTGGGCAGGGTCAGTTTGTGTGGGTTTGTCTGGTTGTGTGGGTTTGTGACTGCGTAATCTATTTAGGCTCGTGTGTTTTGTGTGTGGAGTTCAGTTTACTGTTTGTATTTATATGTGCCTGTTGAATAATGGTTCTAAGGTGTGTATCAGCCATCTGATCAAACCATGGTGCGCCAGTTACAGTGACCGCGGTATATGAACGAACAGTGTAGTATGCACTATGCCCAGTTGTCTATACTTTCCCTAACGTGAGTCCGGTACCCATCAGAGCTGGGTACTCGGGATTTGAAGTCAAGACTTTCAGGTTAGCACTTGACCACGCCGTCTCACTGACCACACCATAGCCACCTGATATTGTGTTGGCCCTTACATGGCCACCTGATACCTTGTTGGCCCTTACACGGCCATCAGCTGTTATGTTGGCCCCACCAAGGCCATCTGATAACATTTTCGCAGCAGTCCCCAGCGCCCCTCCCGGTGCGGATTGTGCGGCTTGGCTCTCGGGACCACGCCACAAAAGGTGCGTAATTAACGGGCATTCCCAAACCGCACTGCGTTTAATAATTCACAAACGCCCGACTGATTTCAAAAGTATTTATGAGTCTGTTTGTGGGTAGCCTGACACGAAGGGCGGGCAGTATGAAACAATCGATGTTTGAGATTTCATATCCACCAGTTACCAGTGATGTATAGAGCGATTGCATGTTTCTCGAATGTACAGGGAGTTAGCTTTCACGAAAGAATAAAATTAAAGTCGGCTAATTAAATGTATTTATTTTTAAATCCAAGGATAATTATATGTTTATTAATACATTATGTAAGTTAATCTAATTACATTTGTTTAAAAGGTTAAAATAGAGAAGGAAGTTACCCCCAAAGGTAACAGTCTTAGAGGTCGTTATAACAGTAGCAGGGGTCATCATTACAATAGCAGGGGTCATCATTACAAAAGCAGGGAGTCATAATTAAAAACAGACAGGGGTCATCATTAAAACAGGGGTCATCATTACAATAGCAGGGGCCATCATTACAATAGCAGGGGTTATCATTACAATAACAGGGGTTATCATTACAATAGCAGGGGCCATCATTACAATAGCAGGGGTCAAAATTACAATAGCAGGGGTCATCATAAAAAAAACAAGGGTCATCATTACAATAGCAGGGGTCAAAATAAAAATAGCAGGGGGTCATCATCAAAAAACAAGGGTCGTCATTACAATAGCGGGGGTCATCATAAAAATAATAGGGTTCCTTAAATCAATAGCAGGGGTTAAATCACCCCAACAGCGGACGAAATCTGCCTCCGCTTGCAACAGCCGCTCTCACGTTGGCTACAATTATAAATATTCATCAGCTATTTTTACCGCCTCTGAGATTTTTTTTTTTACTTTTGATTGAAAATTTAAGCTATGACGTCAGGTAAAAAAGTTTTCAGACTCTGGACAATGAAGTAAAAAATTATTTTTCTGATTGAATGTTAACATAAGGATATGGGCGATTCGTGTGCACAATTTACAGACAGAATGTTAATATATAAATGCATAAGATGCAGGTCAGCTTTTGTATTTGAAATGTTTGTGTTAATAATAGGATGCATCAATATAAGTAAGCTTTAAATAAGAAAATAGTCGGTAAAACAAGGTTTCATATATTGATAAACTCAAGAATGTAGCCAGGTTTTAGAGGATAGGGAAGACAGGAGTGTTAAAAACGGCGTTAACATTTCAGTTACTTATAATAAACTGTAGACCAATGTTTCTTTTAATTGCAACGTGGTTTTCATTTGTAGCTAATAAATACATGAAAAGAGCGCAGCTTTACCAAATAAAGTTCTCTGGGGGAGGGGTCGCTCCCTCTGCTCCCTTGCTGCGCACGCCTCTGGTAAACTATTTAGATTGTGACGTCTGCAATTGATGGTTTACGTTACAGTCAAGTAGCTATACAGTTCAAGTAATATTTCAATTATCGCTGGTATTAAATTCGGTTTATAGACATTTTGTAGACATTTTTATAGACACTATTAAAAAGAATGGTGGCGTTTATAGAGCAGTACTTTTTAATGCACTGAAAAACTTCCTATGCTCTATAAATATTTTTTTCTATGGTAAGACTTAGATTTTTTTTAACTACTTAAAAAAACAAAACAGCGGTAGATATTTTTACCAGATATATTTTCTTTTGTTATCAGGTAATTTGCTGAATGTCATTAAAACAGAGGAAGATTTTTGTAAGGTAAAGACAGCACTTTTATAAAGAATAGGTGTATCGATATTATTTTTTCCTGCAAGCCTTCTATATTCAATAAAATATGTAGGGCTGAGGATCGATCCCTTAAAGTGCTAATGAGAACCATGCAATTAGTATAATTAGACAAGCACTGTTAAAAGACCAAAGGTGTATAGAAAAAACACTTTAGAAAATCGATATTAAGGTGTATGTCTTTTTAAAAATGTTTTAGTAAAAATCAATGTTTCATTCAACCGTACATTACTGTCTGGCGAAATCTTAGCAGCTAGCTGCGCGCGCATTCTTGCACCTGTCACCCCCCTACCCCACAGCAGTAGCTGCTCACACATCCCCCACACCACACACTAAACACGGCTTGATTACACAACCTTAATATACAAACACCAAACAGTCGTTTAGCATCACGATCCGTATAAACCCATTCTACCCCCACTCCTTTATCACACAACTCTCACACAACAACATCAACACCTGCCCCATCTCCCACACAACACACCCACACACCCTACACCACACCACACCCCCACAACCTACACCACACCACCACAACCTACACCACACCCCCACAACCTACACTACACCCCCACAACCTACACTACACCCCCACAACCTACACCACACCACCACAACCTACACCACACCACCACAACCTACACTACACCCCCACAACCTACACTACACCCCCACAACCTACAACACACCCCCACACCCTACACCACACCACCAGTTATCGTCCGTGATTTTTCTTATTGCCGATCAATGGACCAGAAATATCCCGTCAATATTTCTCCCGTCGGGGGAGGGGTGAGGGTGGGAGGGTGGGGGGGGGGGGGTGAGGGTGGGGGGGGGGGGGACCGGGACGGATGATAATAATTTCACGAGGGCGCACGAGGGCGCACATCCTCCTCTGGCCCGGAGCTTATATGAAGCTCCAGCTTGATGGCTAATGACAGACATGGGTAGTGATGAGCTTAATGACGTAGGGTGGAGATGGATGGAGCTTCTCGAGGCTGGGGCGTTGGGGGGGGGGGGGGGGGGGGAGGGGGGGGGGAATTGCAGCTTGACTTAAAAATATAGTCCTCTGTTATCTTATTTTTAAAGTTGAGTAATCGGATAGTGTTTGCTTTTTCAGTACGAGTTTTAGTTTGCTTTTGTAAATATTATTCTAGTTTAAACTATTACAAGCTGTCTTTCCTATCTATATTATTAAAATAATCAGGTTATTTTCTGGCAAAGCGCTGTTTTTTATGCAACATATAGGCAGGTCCGCCTATTTATGCTATTTATTGTTGACGATCTCAGTGCTGAAAGGTTTTAAAATAAAAACATATACGTCTATATCATGGTCTATAGAAGTGTGTTACGTGTCATATAGATGATTTTGTTTTTCGTTTAAAAAATTGGTCTTGCTGCTGATATTAACTGTCTGGTTTATGTTTTTTAAAGTTTTTGCGAGGAATTTTTTGTTTCAGCCTGCAACTTTAGCACCACGCACAGGTAGCCAGTGTTTATTTTTGGCCTGGATGTGACGTAATCCAAGGTCACACAGGTCTAACGCGCGCCAAATAGGCAGTTTAGAGCCAACAAATGTATTAAAAAGCTATTCAAAAACGTTTTCTGCACTGTACCGGGCACATAACTCATTATGGGGGACAGATGGTTCACATTCAAGATCATTTTATCTACATAAAAAACATATGGGGGAATTTTTTTGTTTAGAGTTGTCCATTGTAAAACATACGGGGACAAGGCTTTAGGGATAATTACAGTAAAACATACGGGGATAAGACTTAAGGGATATTTACAGTAAAACATATGGGGACAAGACTTTAGGGATATTAACAGTAAAACATATGGGGACAAGACTTTAGGAATGACAATAACCTAACGTATTTGGGGATGAAGGGGGGGGGGGGGCTTAGAAATTAGATGCAGTACTTTATTTTCCTTGACGACTGTAAACCCCTTACCACTAGCGTCACAACAAATGGTGGGCTGATGGCCACAGTCAACAAATGGTGGGCTGATGGCCACAGTCCAACAAATGGTGGGCTGATGGCCACAGTCCAACAAATGGTGGGCTGATGGCCACAGTCCAACAAATGGTGGGCTGATGGCCACAGTCCAACAAATGGTGGGCTGATGGCCACAGTCCAACAAATGGTGGGCTGATGGCCACAGTCCAACAATTGGTGGGCTGATGGTCACAGTCCAACAAATGGTGGGCTGATGGTCACAGTCCAACAAATGGTGGGCTGATGGCCACAGTCCAACAAATGGTGGGCTGATGGCCACAGTCCAACAAATGGTGGGCTGATGGCCACAGTCCAACAAATTTTGGGCTGATGGCCAC